CTATTTGCAAGATGTTCGCAATGCTGGGGTAGCTGTCAAGGGGAGAGGAGTGCTCTCCCGTCCCGTCTAGAACCTCCGAGCACTTGGCGCTACTTGGCAGTGCGCTGGCGCCTCTTGCAGTTGCAGTGCACATCCCAGGTATGCAGTTCCCAGCCTTGCATGCGGGCGGTAGATGCTCAACAAGAATTTGATCAGCGACTGTAACTCCGAAGCGTTGAACTATGCACGAATAGCTGTGTATTCATGTCATATCTGCTGGTCCCAAGTCTTCGGAGGCTGTGTCTCCCCTAGCTTTTCAGGAACCCACCTCAGTTGCCATTTTCTTTTGCATAGAAATGGATTGAGAGCCCTGGTCAGAAATTCTTGGAGTCAGAAGTGTTTCGTCGCTTATGTTTCTGAACTTGGGAGTTTTCGTAGGTGCATGATGAGTTACCTGGGGGCTGGGCCCAAGTCCAAATGTGAAACTCATGCACGTGCCGTGTGAGTCCTGCACGCAGCCTGGCCGTGGTTTGCACAGGGCTCCCAGCATCCCTGTACTCTGGTTACGGCCCGTGTGCAATTCCACTGGTGCTATCTTACAAGGTTCACATCATCTTGGATTCTGGAACACTTCAGATTTTTGAACTAAGGATTACAGCATTCAGAGAGTACTTCTTAAAACTTCCTACCTGTCCAATCTTACCAGCAAGGAGCCCAGGAGAATCCTTAAGAGAATGAGGTAAAAACAGCCAATTCCCATCTTCACTTCCCCTTTCCCCTGTCACAAGTGAGACAGCGAGGTGGCGTGGACATCCACAGCCCTGCAGGACACGTTCGTGGAGTGTCGTCCAGCTCCCAGGTGCTCCCTGGTCCTGGACGCAGAGACAAGTGCCGCCGCCCCCCACCCCACGTGCCGGCCCGCCGCTCCGGCCGCCGAAGGCTCTAGGATCTCCTCAGCACGTGTGCTCTGCCAGCAGAGATGAGTCCCACAGATCATAAAGGGGTCTTTCCTCCCTGGCAGCCCACTTTCTTCACACCCAGAGCTGCCTGGCCTTCTGGAGACCGCTCTTCTCTCTCATTAGTCAAGTGAACTGCTGTTACAGAGCATCGCCGCATCTTCATTAGCGATAATGACCGTGGCAGCTTCACTTCAAAGGGAGCTGCAGGTAAAGATCAAAGTGAGCCCAGAAATTGACACGAAATTAAAAAGCAGTACTACAGAATCAACTTTTTAAAGCAATATTGTTACTGGCTTTCTGTTGCACAATGGCAGATCTCCCAGAGGCTGAGATTCTCACCTAAATAAAAACACAGAGCCAAATCTAGCTGACCAAGTCTGAGGAAAACAGCTCTTCTTCTGGTCCATGTGAAGGAGCAGACAGCAAGCAGGAAGCTGTCTCAAAGGGCACAGCTAACAGGAGAAATGCCAAAGACCATGTAGACACCGGACTCCTGTCCTGATTTTCTCACAGAGGGATTTTTCTTAAAAATCCAGAATGCTGTGTTATTTTATCATTTCCTAGGAGCACGTGGGGAGAGGAACACACACTGTAAGAGCAATAGCAGGCACATCCTGAGCGAGCTCAGCAGAAAGGAGCGAGGACAGCCCCTCGGACATCGCTGCCCATGGCTGGGGAGCCTTTGTGAGGGTCGGGCGCTTCTCAGAGTGAGCCAAGGTCATGCCTGGCACAGGGCTAGCCCCAAGCAGGAGGGCACCAGGGCCAGCACCAGGGAGGCACGTACAAGGGTCTGCAGGCAAATGGGGCCCAGCCAATGGACTTAGTGGGCAGCAATGCCAGGGCTAGGCAGGGCCAGGACCTCACACCATAACAGACCAAAGGAGCAGTCAGACTACTCATGCCCACTGACAGCTCTGAGAGCACATGGGGCATGGCTTCTGGCATCCTGATCCAGGATGGCAGCAGCTCAGGGCCTCTTCTTGAGCCCCCACCAGCACAGTCACCCACAAAGTTGAGCAACTACTCGGAATATGGTGCATCTACAAGGGGGAAAGGGCAAGCCACCAGAATGCATGCTGCCACAGGGGCACTAGGTGGCGGGCTGCTGAAAGTGCTGTGCCAGGGGAGCTAGGTGGTAGGCTGCCGTGGGTGCTGTGCCAGGGGTGCTAGGTGGTGGGCTGCTGAGGGTGCTGTGCCAGGGGCGCT